AGCCAAAAGGAAGTCGATGGCATTGGAGGACTGAAGAGCTGAACCGTCGTCCTTAAAGCTAATGAGGCATGCCAGCAGCAGCCATGTCCACTGGCTCTGGGCTCCCGCCAGGCTGCCTCCCTTCCTCATTTCTCAGTATTTACAAGAGGATTAGCTATCGGAGCATTTTAATCCCAGGTTGTTCTCCATCTGCCTGGCAGCACATGTCCAGCTAGAAGCCATTTACCCCAGCTAAAGCACACTCAGGGGCACTGTCATAGCAACTTACCAAGCTACAGCAAGTGAGGCAGCTGAAACTCTAGTACTAGGATAAGCTCAAACAAGGTCACATCTGAACTATCTGATTCCATATCATTTCCCACCAACCCACTCTAACCGCCATAAATAATACACCAAGAGTGGACTGAGACTGAGGACAAGCTCATTGGTACAGTGCTGGTTCAGCATGTGCAAAGGCCTTGTGTTCAAAGCCAGTGCACCCAAAAAACTTTGACAAACTCACTAAAGCCATACAGTGCATAAGCACTTGCAGGTAAAGTGGATCAGTTATTCATGGTCATCCTCAATGACATACCGAGTTTGAGGCTAGCCTGGGCTACCTGAGACCTTTTGTCACAAACTGAAACAAAGAGACAGAGCTCTAGTGAGTTGGGAAGGCTAAGCCCCAACATCAGAAATGGTCAAAGAACAGTAACTGCGGGAGTGTGATGGTTCCTCAGTGTAGAAGTTTTGTCAGAATGTCTACTAACCTTCTATCACAACGTAAGAAGCTCCCATTGAAAGACCCTTCTGTCGTACCTGTTTCCCTCTCACAAGTCAGAAAAATTAGGAACAGTCAGTGTCTCTGTCTCTCTGGCCCCTCCATAAAGAAAACAGGCTTAAGTTTAAAAGATCAAGATTGTTATACAGCTGTGCACGGTGGAATGTGCCTGTAATACCAGCAACTGGGCAGAGGCAGGCAAATCTCTATGAGTTCAAGGTCAGCCTGGTCTACAAAGCGAGTCCAGGACAGCCAAGGCTACACAGAGAAACCCTGTCTCGAAAAACAAAAGAAAACAAGATTTTGTTATACCTATAGCTAAACTAAACATAGTCTTAAAGGGAAATCTATAGCCCCAAAGGGACAGGTCCTTGTGTGGCAAACAAACTCAAGATGATGAACAAACAACCTCTCATTTCCCACTAGGTCCCATCTGCTCTAGTTAAGGAGCCCATTTTGTGCACTACTGGCCCCAAACCCCTTCATCAAGGCGTGGGCCTCTCCTGAGCACTGAGCACGTCCACCTGCATGGATGCAGCTCAGGAGCCACAGATGACCTTACCATCATCCACAAACCTAAGGCTTTTACTCCCAGTTGAGTGAGGTGCTACAATCCAAGCACTTGGTCACCTGACCTACCTCAACATCACTCCACACACCCAATGCAGGACCGACTCTTCTACTGCCACTGTCCCTGAAACATAGCACCTCCACCCCCAAATCTCAGGCCTGTACTATTCACAAAAGAAATAACACAAGGACTAAAATTTGCCTCCCTAGGTCTCTGGCCCGGGAAACTGACTTGCTCCAAGCTCCTCTCCTACCTAGCAACCCTTCATCAGCTGCTAAAAACGTTTCAAATACTGTCTGTCCCTCTTGTTCACATCATTCCCCCTGAACTGTCTACTCTCCCTTCTTCCCTTCACTCCAAACAGCTCTGGGATCTGCCACCAGGGGCCTTCCATAACCTCAGAAGCGTTTTCTGGGTGCCACCAAGACCTTCCACCCTGCTTTCCTGGAACTGTCTGCTCACAGGTCAGGGCACTTTAAAGGCAGGGCTGTGTCGTTCTCTCACTGAGAACCTAAAGGAGCAGTGACCCAACCCCATGAGGAAGAAATGAACTATCTACTTCTCCTGATGATGGTGAGTCAGACACTGGCTTCAGAGAAAGCAACAGTATTTCAAGATCACTAATAAGAAATGATTTTCTCTGTTCTCCAGTCTCTACAGGCACCTCTAAGCCTGAAAGGAAACCACGCGGTGAAAAACCGTTCCTCCTGCTGGCCACAAGGATTCACCAAGCCCCCAACGGCTGAGTCAGACTGGCAAGCCAGAATCTAAAATAACTTAAGCTCATGACTACACAGAGTTATTATCAATGAATCAGTGATCACAGAATTACAAGAAACCACACCATTCGGGGAATGAGGGCTTGGGAGGTGCTGTGGAACAATGGAGAAGATTCGAAAGCCAGCAGCTGAGAGTGAGTGGCCACAACTGACATGAATAATGCCAAACACTAGGGGCCCAGAGAACCAGAAAAAGCTGCAAGCCAAACAAGGCAGAGGCGGGGACAAAAACCTGCAGGGTCACTCACTGGTGGAAACATGAATCCCCATCCTTACCCCAAGAACTGTAAAACAAGAGCTTCTGAATGCATAGCCAAGAACTCATTTTCTGACTCAGAGAAACCTGTCACTCAAAGCCCTACCCGAGACCCCACTAACTGTAGACTTTATCTTTTGGCTTAGAAATACGGAACCACATGTGCTGCAGCCATTGTGGGAAGGTCAGTGAGTGTGGGGCACATGTCTGCAATCCCACAACTCAGGTGATGGCAAGAAAAGCAGGAGTTCCAGGGCATCTTCAGCCACAGCTAGTTCAAGGCCAGCCTAGGAAAATGAGACGCTGTCTCAAACAAACAAGAGTTCTGTAAAACCAAGGTACACGACCCTCACTGCACCTGCAACCCCCCATCCAGAAGGTGAAGTAGGCCGCCCTTAACTACACAGCTAGACTGAGTCGGGCTGGGCTACCTTCAACCCTGCCTCAAAAAAAGAGAAAAACAATTTAAGAAGACAGCCCGGACAACTTCAGAGTTCTAGGACAGCCCTAGGACAGCCCTCACAGCTCCATAGTGAGATCCTGTCTTAACATACATTCACGGGCTGGAGAGAGCACAGTGGTTAACAGTGGCCACTGCTCTTGAGGACTTAAGTTTGAGTCCTAGAACTGCCTGTAACTTTAGCTCCATGGGATCCAGTGTCCTTTTCCAGGGGACTCTGCACTCACATGCAATAACACAGAGACACACACAATTAAAAACAAAAATAAAAGCTTGGTCTGAGTGTGGTGGCGCCCACCTTTAATCCCAGACTCCACGGCAGAGAAAGGAGGAGTTTAAGGCCACCCTGGTCTACCCAGGGTTCAGCCAGCTACATACCTGCAAACAAACTAATTATCTTTTTTTTCCCCCTCTATCTTTCAAAGGGGCCAATGAGGTAAAGGTGTCTGCAACCAAGCCTGATGACCTGTGTTCAATTCCTGGGATGCACATATGCACACACAATAAAGACTTTCCAATTAAAAAAAAAAAATGATAGCACAGGAGAGGAGAGAAAGACATTTTCAGCTGGTGGGACAAGCCTGTGACCCCTGTGCTAAGGAGACTAAGAGAGGAGGACACAGTTTAAGGCTAACCTGGGTTACAAGGCATGGGGACAAGGCTCAGTTGGTAAAGTATCTGCCTAGCCCTGGAAATGACCCCTAGCACAACATAAATTGGGCACAGTGACACACTGAAACATGCCTATAATCCCAGCACTCAGGTTGTAGACAAAAAGATTAAAAGTTCAAAATCATCTTCAGCTACAAAGCACATCTGAAACTAACGTGGGCTACATGAGTCCCGGTCCTTTAAAAAGAAAAGGTCAGTGGTCAACACCAATGCTGAACAACGATTGGTAATGTCTAAAAACATAGGGGAAACTAACAAAGCTTCCTAAAGCGCCCATCTCTCATCAGGCTCAACTTTCGAAACCTTAAACTCCACTTTTCAGTGGTCTGACAGCATGATGTAAGCATCACCTGACTTTATAAAGTGACCAGGTCTTTGGCTGAGCCAGTAAGGGAACAGAGTGGCCACCTCCAGGGGGCCCTCTCCAGAGGGAAACTTGAGCCATTCTGGATCTGTAGGCATCCAAGACTTCCTTTCTGCCTCGATTCTGTCACCTGGAAGTTCCTCTAAGTCAAATTTGGGCTTTGGCTGGCAAGTTCCCTCTGTTACTCTGCGCTGCACATCTAGAACCAACACAAGAGATTGTACCCATGAACGAACATAGACCACACCTGTGTTTCCAGAGAATCAGGAGCGATAGGCTAGCCGGAGTTACTTAGCCAGTTTCAGGCCAGTCTGGGATTCATGAGAACTGGGGGCTAGCAAGCTTGCCTGAACTCACATGGTAAAAGAGAACCAACTTCCAAAAGTCATCCCCTGCCACCACCTGAGCGGCATGACGCATGCAAAAATTAATTATTTGAGAAAGAGAGAGTGAGCGCCAGATGTGTCTCTGCGATAGTGTGCATAAGACTCTGGGTTTCAGACCCAGCACCAAAAGATAAAGAAAACACCTATAAAATTAAAACGCTGAACAATACTTCAACTTATGAAATAGGTTCAAAGTTTTCGTTCAAACCAATGTCTCTAAACATATGCTCACAAGAGAATCACACAGTTTTTTTTTTTCTTTTTTCTAAATATTAACAACAGCATCGGGCCTCTTGGTTGAGCTTGTTCTTAGCAAATGTTTACTCTGAAGGACCACAGCCCGAACAAGCTGCTTCAAAGCCTACTTCAGCGCTTACACAACCCACTTCAGTACTTTTCCAGAAACAGGCCTTTTGAAAGCGCGTAGAAAGGGTTCCGAGAGTTTCCTCTTCGCCAGCCTGAGTGCCGACTGAGTCAGGATTGAGAAACGTCCCCGGCAGGATGTGAGAAAGGCCGCTCGCACCCGGTCCCCGCCGGGCTGATTCACTCCCGCCAAGTCACCGCGTTAACACAGACTGCCACACTCACCCCGCGGGGCCGGAGGATAACAGCCTTCGCCCCGGGGTCCCCGGCCGCAGCCCCAAGCGCGCCCCGGGTGGCTCCTGCACGGTGCACGCCCACGGGGACCACGGCTGAGCCGCCAGCACGCGGGGAGGCGGCGAGGCCCCTGCCCGTCCCGTCCGATCCCTCACCTCCGGCGCCGGCGCTCCCGACTCCTGCCCAGACGGTCGGAGAGGCGGCCCAGGAGTGCAGCCAGCCCGGGCCGACCAGGCAGCAGACCCAGCAGCCGCCTCCAGAACACCGGGCCCGCTGCCGGCGCCGCCATGGAGACCCGCCGCTTCCGCTTCCGGCGCGCGAGAACTTTATTGACAGTGGGAGCGCGGACACGGATCCAGTGCGCAGGCGCAGGAGCGACCACGGGGCTTCGCTGAGACTGTACTGCCTGGTCCTCTGTGTCCTTTCTGGGGCACGGTGTAGCTCCAGGGACGGAGGTCAAGGGCAGGCAGAGTGGGCCCCGGTCCTGACTCACCTGAGGGTCCAAGAGGGAGGATGCTGGTGACAGCTCAGTGCCCCGAATTCTGTCAGATTGATAGCTGCTGCCCTGCGCCCTACACTCACCGACCTTGCTCCAAGAGGAAGGAAGGATGCTCAGCTCCCTGACACCCGTCAGACTCAACTGCCGCCCTGCGCTCACACGAGGGTCCAGAGGGGAGGGTGTTAGTGACATCCCAGCGCCCTGACATCTGTCATATTGACAGCTGGCCGCCTTGCGCCCTGCACTCACCTGCCTGGCTCCCAGAGGAAGGATTCGAGTGACAGCCCATCACCCTAACAGCCACTGACTTGCGCTCCGAATTCGCCTGCATCGCCCCAGGATGGTGTCAGCTAAGCACCTGAGGCCTGACCCTCCTCTGCCACCTGTCAGATCTACTGCCACTGATTCCTTCCCTGGCTTACTTAGGCTGGAACTTAGAAACTAGAAACACTGTAAAACAATCAGAATTCTGTTTGCCCCAAAGACGATGTGGGGTTAAAACTGTGACTATTACGCTAAAAGTCTGATTTAACTTCCACCAAAATATCCCAGGGAATTAACGACACATTCGCACAAGAATATTTATCTCAGCATTTCTCCCATTATTGAAAGTGCGGAGGCAGGCGGTGGTGGCGCACGCCTTTGATCCCAGCATTTAGGAGGCAGCAGCAGGCGGATCTCTGAGTTTGAGGCCAACCTGGTCTACAAAGTTAGTTCCAGACAGCCAAGGCTGTTACACAGAGAAACCCTATTAAAAAAAAAAAAAAACAAGAAAAAATGTAGAAACAATCGCAGTAAAGGGGTTGGTTAGGGGCTGGAGAGATGGCTCAGTGGTTAAGAGCACTGTCTGCTCTTCCAAAGGACCTGGTTTCAATTTCCATGCACCTACATGGCAGCTCACAACTGTCTGTAACCCCAATACCAAGGGATCTGACACCGTCACATTAATGTGCATAAAATAATTTTTAAAGGAGTTGGTTAGATACGCTGAGGTGTATCAGTACACTGGATAGTCATATCTCCGTGAAAAGTGGTATCCTAAAAGGCTACTTAGTGGCATTACTTACAAAACTACCAGGGGCTGGCAAAATGGCTCAATAGATAAAGGTGCTTGCTGCCAAGGCTAAAAACTTGAGTTTGAGCCCAGAACACATACGGTAGGAAAGAGACCTGCCTCACCAGCTTACCATCTGTTGCACATGCTCTCCACAGCCTGTGTGTGCCTGCTTCTCACAGGAAACAAACGAACATGGAGGAACTTAAATGAAATAAAATAAAAAGGGAGAGGCCAGCAAGGTAGCTCAATGGATAAATGTGCTTGCCATGTGAAACTGTGCTCTGACCTTCACACTTGTGCCTCCTTCAGATCACACATGTACACACATAACAACAACAATATATGTTACACTGGTTTTTAAATGTTATGCTGATTTTAAAAATAACAAAAATATTAGCAAAAAGTAGTACAAAGACAATCTCATGCAAGCATAGTAGCCCACATTGTAATCCTAGCCCCTCACCAGCCCTAAGGAGGCAAAAAAGAAAAAAGAAAAGAAAAAGAAAGAAAGAAAGAAAGAAAGAAAGAAAAGAACAAAAGAAAGAATAAGGCAGAACCCAGAACTTGGGAGATAGAAGACAAGAGGATGAGGAGTTAAAAATCATTTGTTGCAACAAAGTGAGTTCAAAACCAGCTAGGGATGCATGAACCTCTACCTAAAAAAATACAATTTTGAAAAAATTAAATCCTGGCACATGAGAGACAGAAGCAGGCAGAGTTCTTTGAGTTTGAGGCCAGCCTGGTCTACATAAGTAAGCTCCAGGACAGCCAGAGCTATATAATAAGACCCTGTCTCAAAAAGCAAACAAACAAACAGAACAAACTGGGCAGTGGTGGCACAGGCCTTTAATCCCAGAACTCAGGGAGGCAGACATAGGAGAACAGATCTCTGAGAGTTCGAGGTCAGCCTGATCTACAAAGAGAATTCCAGGACAGCCAAGGCTACACAGAGAAACCTCAAAAAACAGATAGATAGATAGATAGATAGATAGATAGATAGATAGATAGATAGATAGAAAACAACTTCATTTAGGAGACTGAGATGTTCTCAAGGATCAGCTAGTGATGTCTGCGAACTTCTGGATCAGTTACAGGCAGTGATTACTTCGGATTGCCTTTAATTTTTAAGCACATATAGTTGTACAAATACCAGGTAGAATCTGATTTAACTCTTCCATATTAGAGTTGGTGAATCATCAGATTTCCTAACTTCCAGTAACCAGGATGAGATGTCAGTGCCTTCAGCCTGTCACGGGAGATACAGAGTAAACACACGGCTAACAGCTGCACTGTCGCGCCATGCCCAGGAGTGGGGGTAGGGGACCACAGAGCATCCTCGTCACCCTGAAAGAAAAGAAGGTTCACTGCTTTCTTGGTGGTTCTTTGCTGTGTGAGGCGGCACCTGGACCATAGGGTTGGCTCGCTGGGAAATTCTCCTGTAAAACAAATTGTAATTTCACACAATGATATTGACTGCATGGCAAATGAAACTGATAAATAGTTCCATTCTGTGTAAACACAGATGGCCCCAGCCCTTCCAAAACCATATACCAAGAGCCTCTAGCTTCATGGCTACTCTGAAACAAGAGTCATAAGCAGAGTGAAGCAGCCATGACTCTTCCAGGACATGAATATCTTAGAGATTCCAAATCTTACATGCTGACTTTCAAAGATGAAGCAACTTTTAAAATTCATTTTTAATTTTTTTTTGGATTTATTTTATGTGTAGAGGGTTTTGCTGCATGTCTGTATGCATGATGTGCACACACTCACACACACACACACACACACACACACACATGCCTTGTGCCTATGTAAGTTAGAGGACGGCATCAGATCCCCTGGAGCTGGAATTATAGATGGTTTTGAGCCATCCGGTGCATGCTGGGAACTAAACCCTGGTCCTTTGCAAGAGCAACAAGTGCTGTTAACTGCTGAGCCATCTCTCCAGCTATCTTATCTATCTGTCATCTATCTATCTATCTATTTTTGGCTTTTCCAGAGATTTCTCCGTGTAGCCCTGGCTGTCCTAGAACTCACTCTGTAGACTAGGCTGGCCTCAAACTCAGAGAGCTACCTGCCTCTGCCTCCTGAGTGCTGGGATTAAAGGCCTGCATCACCACACTCAGCAAAGCCTTTATTTTTAAAATAATCTTTTTTTTTTCCCATTGACAGTTTCACACACATAAATAGTGGATATTAGTCATTCTTCTGTATCACCCTGTCTCCCCTACTCTTTCTTCTCCCACTGACAGCCTTCTTCCCAACACGGCCCCTCCTACTCTCATGTCTGTTAGCCCCTGAGTTGCCTCGGGAGCATGGGTAAGCAACTTGTTAGTGGTCGCACCATTGATGATAATGACACCTGCTACCTCGGCAGCTATTAACTGTCAGCACTCACGAAATAATCTTTAAATTTTGTTTTCGAAATCCAGGGCTGATGGTGTACTTTTAATCTCAGCACTCAGGAGGCAGAGGCGGGCAGATGTCTGAGTTCAAGGCCAGCCTGCTCTACAGAGAGAGTTCCAGGACAGCAGAGCTACACAGAAAAACCCAGTCTCAAAGCCCACCCTCCAAAAATTATTTTTTATTTATGAGTGTCTTGTCTGCACATTTATGTGTACCTTGCATGCCTGCTGTCCAGAGGGCTAAGAGTCCCTAGAACTGGGGTTCCAGTTGGTGTAAGCCACCCTGTGAGAGCTGGGAACCAGAATAGGATCCTCTGATTTTGGAGCAATTTGATTTGTTTTGTTTTGGTTTTTGAAACAGGGTTTCTCTACGTAGCCTTGGATAGCCTGGAATTTGCTCTGTAGACCAAGCTGTCCCTGAACTCACAGGGGGTCTAGAATGCTAGAATTAAAGGCCGGCATCGTCCCTGGGTCAATTTTTAACTGCTTCCATTTGCACAGTGACAGAAAGTACATTCTTTCTGCTCCGAGACCTTGTCTGAGTTGGTTGGTGAGAGATGAGACTTGCCCAGATGACAACAGGGCCGAGATGAGCTGCGTGAGGTAGGGCAGAGCTCACTACTGTGCCTGGGGTTCCCTGATGCGCAGCTTGAGCCCAGACAGGAAAGTGTGGTCCTGGGAGAGCCACTCACACCTCCACTGAGTCCTGCTCAACCCCCTGCCTCTTCCCACTGCCTTCTCGTTAGCTCCCTCACTCTTTCCCAAACAGGAGATGCCAGGATGAGAAAGACGGTCAGTGGGCCTGATGACAGACAGTATGTCTTCCCAAACGGAAGAGGAAAGCCATTCACTGGAAGCAGAGTTGACGTCAAGGAGCAGTGGCTGATGCCCCCAGATCAGGCTGCTCTCCCAGGCAGGAAGCGCCAGGAAATCCTGAGCCAATGGCCCATTGATTCACTCTCTGGCCCAACATCCACACCAATGCTGAAGGAAGGCCATTGCTCCCAAGCCTGAGAGCAATCACTCCTGGACAAGAGCTACTAGCAAAAATAAGGTGCTGGGGTGGGGGATGGTTCAGTGCTGGCCTGGCATGCATGAGGCCTTCGGGTCAATACCAGCACCATGTACGCCAGGGGCACACCTTTAATCCCAGCCCTTGAGAGGCAAGTGGGTCTCTGTAAATTTAGGGGCCGCCTTGGTCTACATATCAAGTTCCAGGCCAGTCTGGCTACTCAGTGAGATCTTGTCTATGAATGAATGAATGAATGAATGAATGAATGAATGAATGAATGAATGAATCTTTAAAAGCACTCTAATGTCCATATCAGAA